GGTTCCATATAGGACACAGGTTCGATTCCTTTCGGAAACAAATATTTCCCCGACATTTTAATAGACACAAATAATAACACATTTACTACCTCCCCATAGAAAAAAAAAACAACCAGACTAACTCTTGCACTCTCAACTATAAGAGTGAATGCCCTAATTACTACAAAATAACACTTATACAGAATTTAATTAACCGAGAACAAATTAATTCCTCCACAAAAAAGATTTTCTACAATGAACTAAAAAATATTAAGCAGACTCTCATTAATAATGACTTCCCAAACCAGATTGTAGATGAACAAATAAGACAATATATCAAAACCCTCAACACACATCAATTAGAATATGGTAATTCCTCAAATGATTCTAAATAAATCAAACGCCCATATTTCAACCAGATGCATGCTAACTAAAATCAGGATGAAAAAAATCATAAAAATCTCATTCGTACTAATATATCTTCCATGGATCCTAATAAAAATAAAAATTAATCACATATAAAAAAATACAATATAACCAATTTAATTATTCGGAATAACTCCTCCTCACCAAATGATGTTTTCCGTAAAACCAAAATTATACAGCAATTCAAATGTCCTTTGGGAGAATGTATCTCCGACAGAAAAACAAATATATATGTTGGATATACAACTATATTAACAAGATTTCTTACACTACACATGTCTGACCATTCGTCCATTGCGAGACATCTACATTATTCCTGTCCACATTCACAATATAAAATATACTGATCGACAACACAACTAGCCTACATCAAGAAAACAACAAATTCAAACTACAGATCATCGAAGCAAGATACATTAAAAAAATTAATACTTAATAGAATCAGCTACGAATACTGTAGTAATGTTCTGAAGTGTCTATAAAAAAAAAGAAAAGTTTTACACGCTTTAATGCAGGCATAATTATAAAATTACATCATAGAAGAAAATATTCCATAGTGGGTAATTTTTGCACGTTCTTATGAACGCTACGCATGACTGTCAACCATTGCATTGAAAATGACATTAATGGATAGCAACACAGTTTTTTATTACTACTTACACCCTGAAGATGATCTCGTGAGAAGATCGAAAGTACTTGGGAAATGGGAAATAAAAAAGATAGTTATAGCACATTTCTCACATCATTCAATTACAATACACGGAAGGTTATTCGTGAGTATGAACGGATTTTATTAAAAATAAGCAGATATAATGCCTGTAATTTATTTAATCAGACACGCCTAAAAGAGAATTTCTTGCCTAAACACACACACACACACACACACACACACACATATATATATATATATATATATATATATATGGATTAAATAATATTTATGATGGTCACACCACAAACTCACTTTCACGACGCTTGACTCTACATTTGAATGATAACTCTAACATTTTTAGGCATTTAAAACAACATTACTGGCCGCGTAGACAATTCCGGAAAATCTTCGTTGAAAACACAACTATACTTAAACATCAAAACAATAACTAAAAATTCTTGAAGCTCTATACATAAAACAGTTGAAACGTAACCTGAACAAAGTAAACTACGAAATCTCCACAAATATTCTTAAATGCCTATAATTGAGAACAGAAGCCATTGGTTATATTAACGGCTTCCCATACTTAATACTTCTCGTTTTCACTCTCGAGTGGTCATGTGTGACGTCACAAGATGCGACGCGATTTTCGCTTCCGCCTCTCGTACACACGAGTTTGTCGTTGCTTTGAAATTTTCATGCAACAAAACAGATTATCATTATGGTTTTGTCTGTGTATCGTTTAATATATTGAAATGTAATTGTCATCTTTGATAATGGCGTATGTAAGCCGAAAGCTTAGATCGGATTTAAACATGTATCAATATGGTGATTTCCTTTCGTTTTTCAATGATAATGTTATTAAGCTTATCAGACAATATGAAAGTAACTTAAAATAAATAGACAAAACTTGTCTATATTATTTAATGAAACATGCATCAATATATATATATATATATATATATATATATATATATATATGATCATAGTTAAGTCAGTAAAGAATCAAACCACGACCACAAAATTCTAGATAATATTTAACCTAGAAACTGGGGTAAAAACACTATGAAAGTGTAAAAATAGGTTTTAATACCAGAAATACTTTGTAAAAAATTATTATCAGCAATAAATCTTTGAAGAAAAAAAACTATTACCAGCAATACTTTTTTGGAAAAAAAATATTTCCAGCAATACTTTTCTTGAAAAAAATTATTACCAGCATACATTTTTGAAGGAAAAAATTATTACCAGAAATAGATTTTTGACAAAACAAAATATTACCAGCAATAAAAATTTTGTCGGCATTAAATAACCCGGTGAGGTTGATATGCCGTAAAACAAACCAAACCAAACCAAACCACAGGTCGATAAATTTATACAAGAAATTTGGCCATCTTTTTGCGGTGAAAAAACATATTGGTTTGGATAATGCTTGCAAAAATCAGGTAATTATCGGATTTTAGTTAAACTTTCTAGACCTATTCACAAATGAATGAAAGTATTTTTGAAACGTTTATTTTTTTAGAAATTTTTTTAACTACCTCCCAACACACACACTTACGAAATTTCAAGAAATTCTTTTTTGTTAGCTCCTCATTTTTATATTTGTTGCAAAGACAAGTCATCGGAGAATTTGAATCATTAAATTGTTTTTTTTTTTGTTGTTTTTTTTTTTTTTTTTTTTTAAGCATTCAACCCCAAGCAAGGCTGGAAGCCACTAGCACGCAGGGGGTTATAGAAAGTTGGAGCGAGAGCAAAGAAGAGTGATAGGGGAAAGGATGAAGAGAAAGAAAGGGGATAGATCCGAGCATCTGACATTATATTTAAATAGTTGGAGATTATAGCTATCAGGAAAACAAGAAATGGGGAGAGAGTTCCACAGGCGAGAAGTGCGAGGTATGAAGCTATTGGAGTAGAAGAGACGGCTACATTTAACAGTTTCGACAGTGGTTTTGATGAAACAGTTACAGAAAATCTGCTCAGAATCGTAAAATAAAAGATGCAATAAAACTAAGATATTTAATGAGAAAAACTTTTAATAACTTTTACGAATAAAATACATTATGGTCATTATCTTGTTATGAAAATTTTGTTTTGAAAAATAATGAATTTTTACAAGAATCGTCTTCAGTATTTTAAAATTTTAATTATTAGGTTGGTGCAAAAATAATGACGTAATAATGTCGTTTTTGACGTCAAAAACGACATTATTACGTCATTATTTTACCAACCTAAAGAATTTTATAAACCTTTAAATCTTTGAAAATTCTGTATTAATTTGCATCGGTCAAGTTATCTTGTTATTAAATTAAAACTGTATTTATTTTTATGTGCCATGTCCTTCCAGAACGTAGGCGATCATGGCTCTCCACGTCCTTCCATCCCTTGTAGCTCTCAACAAGTTCCTTCCCTCTGCTTCCTCCCCCGGACCACGTTCTGTCATCCACTTGCTTAAGTCCGCTAGGTATGTCATGCGTTGTTTTCCTTTGTCTCTCTTTCCTTCTATTTGACCCGTGAGTATTAGATTCTCCAGACCTTCCTTCCTCATTATGTGTCCCAGAAACTTCAGCTGCCTCTTTCTGATGTTAAGTATAAGCCTCCTCCTTGTTTGCAACTTCACTAAGATCTCATCGTTGCTCACACGCCCGGTCTATGATATCCTTACCATTATTTACATTGCTCCGACTATCATCCTCATCTTTGTTGCCATATTTATCACAACGTTTCAACAGTTCAGTTCGACATTCCAACCACCTGAAGAAGGCCGGAGCGTACAACGGCTGAAACATTGTGATAAATATGGCAACCAAAATGAGGATGATAGTCCGAGCAATGTAAATAGTGTACGTAATACCTCATCTCAGAGATATAGACAGATCCTTAGCATCCTTCTGTAGAACCACATCTCTGTCGCCTCGAGTCTGTACTAATCATAAATGGAAACAGTTACTACAATTCAACAACCACAGATATTTTAAAAAGAATTTTGAATTTTTTTATGTGTGGGTAAACGTTTCGACTTTGTAAATATGGATGGCCATACACAGCATTATCAGAAAATAAGAATGGTACCTATAATTTAATATTTACCTATTTTCTAACATTTCCTCAACAAGCGCGTCTTTGTATTTTCTAGCCTTATACACAAAGGCAATTTATAGTAATTTAAAATGAAGCCCAAACAATAATTTTTAAGATTACTGGGTAGTTGAAGACTTATAATCAAAAAAACATATAGATATTCATCAAGTAATGTTTTTCAATTATGTCCCCCTTACTTAAATTTCTCAAACATCAAGTTGTCTCTAAATCATTCAATATGTCAAAAACAGACTCGTAATTTAAAAAGAAAAATGCTTTTTTTGCGATATTACAACCTAAATGTAAATAATATTTTTTTCAATTTAGATTAATTAAAATTTAAATCAGCCAATTTTTCTCAAATAACGTTTCAGAAAAATATATTTTATTTTTCAAAGATTTTTAGTAAAGAGACGGGTGTTGTGTGGAGAGATCAGTCAATATACACAATTTTATAGAATTTACTGAGAATGAGAAAGACACAAGCCAAGCCGTTTAAATTCAGTTTGAAATACATCAAAGAATTTTTCTTATTAGGAATATTAAATTGAATTTATTGGCTTAGAACTAAAACTAAAATTAAAGTTTCAGGAAAGATTTTTCATTTTTTAAAATTCATTTTAATCTTTATGTATCGCTTTTCTTTGGAGGTACATACACGCACAGACACACACACACACACACACACACACACACACATATATATATATATATATATATATATATATATATATATATATATATATATATAATTATATTTATGTCTGTAATGCTAATCAGCTTAATGGGAGTTGAAATTTTTTCTTCAATTTCGCATGAAGAAATATTTTAGTGTATATGGCTTTTACAAGATACGACTCCTTCAATGGGTGGGTGGGGACCCGGCCCGACCCTTCCCATTGCCATATCGTCCACCATCAACAGAAAATTTCTGTGTGTTAATAACGGCGTGCAAGAAGAAGAAGAAGAAGAAGAAGAAGAAGAAGAAGAAGAAGAAATTGTTGGTTAGATCTCGTGGAGTTCTAAGGCAGGTAGAAAACTGGGTCTTGTTGGAAATTGCAGAGTGAATAACACTTTTCTATTGGCTAAGAAAAGGTTCTATTCATGGGGATGGAGTCTGTGCACCGAGTGACCTCACTGAAGACAGACGTAACTCGCGAGCACGTAATGCCGGACAAGCCAAGGTGAAGACATCGCATGGCGTCAACGGGACAAATTTATCAAAAGATTCACACTTCTTTTACAAAAAGGTCCTTATTGGAAAAGTAGTTAAGATGGCGGTGATTACACACACACACACACACACACACACACACACACACACATATATATATATATATATATATATATATATATATATATATAATTTAAATAAAAACAGACCACTTTAAGTTTTTTATTTAAATTATTTGCTCTGGATTTACATTGAGCTCTCTGGATTTTATCCTTCTTGGGTCTACCCATACGGATTACCTAGTTTTTCATAAACTATATATATATATATATATATATATATATATATATATATATATAGAGAGAGAGAGAGAGAGAGAGAGACAGAGAGAGAGATAGATAGATAGATAGATAGATAGATAGATAGATATAATAATAGCTGGCCACTTGCATTCCAGGATACCCATCTACTACGGCGGTTAGCCAATCCCTATTGCAAAATCTCGATCAGGAACATTTGTGTTTGTTCAACACCCACAGAGGACAAAGCCTCGGTCATGATGACTTGTGACTTCATGCTAGCACAACTATCGACGGCCGCAAATGTTCCGTCTACCCAAGTTCACTCACAAGGCTTGAGTCAACCTGTGATATTGTCTTCAGGCACTTTCTAATTGTGCCATATATATATATATATATATATATATATATATATATATTTGGTTGATAGATGAGTTTGTGACCCTGGGTTTCACACAAGAGTTTGTCTGACGATTGTCAGATCAGAGTTTGTCTGACGATCGCTAAAGCGTGAAACCCAGGGTCACAAACTCACATCGATCCAACAAATATGTTAGCTCTATCTCTGATATTGAGCGCTTTTAATAAGTACCGCATATAATATATAAATAATTATACATATATATATTTATTTATATTTATATACACTTTTCACACACACACACACATATATATATATATATATATATATATATATATATATATATATATATATATATATATATATATTATAAAGCGTTTTCGTCTGAAATCTTCTTGCATTTACATCTTTTGCATTTATATATATATATATATATATATATATATATATATATATATATATATATATATATATATATATATATATATATATATATATATATATATACATATATATATATATATATATATATATATATATATATATATATATATATATATATATATATATATATATATATATATATATATATATATATATATATATATATATATATATATATATATAAATATATATATAAATGTGTACGTATATAAATATATATCTATATATGCAATTATATATATATATTATTTATAAATTATATATGCGCGGTACTTATGGAAAGTGCTCAATATAAGTGATAGAGCTAACATATTTAGTTGTATTGATGTGAGTTTGATTTTGTTAAATTTTCTTTGATGGCCGTTCAGAGATTTCAAAGAAAAACTGTGTAGGGCCATGATTACAAAGTCACATCAATCCAACTAAAATATATATATATATATATCCTACCAGAACTATCCGCAGTTTATTAAATAACACCAGCAAACAACATATTACATCCGATGCTTGCATCTACCAAATCTCATGCAACAACTGTGACTTAAAATATGTGGGTGAAACATGTAGGTCCGTAAAATCTCGTGTTTTCGAACATAAACGAGATATTCGCCTCGGAAATTTAAACAATGCTTTAGTTGTACGCATAACTAAATCTGATCGTAAATTCGAATTTGATTCTGTGAAAATTTTAAAATATTTTCATAATAAAAATAGGCGGATTTATGAAGCAGGCATAATATCTATCTCACGCACGGTGAACACTAGACCTGGCTTCTTTAATATTTCCCCTTTTCTAGCAAGATTAATGCTCGACAAACCTACTTATAAAATATTAGATCAAAATAAATTCTTTTCGTTTTTCATTCAAAATACTCAAATTTTAGGAATACGTTTTCACAACGTCGCCCACCTGTTATCTGTTTGGATTGGTATTGCTTTTATGTCCATTGTCTTTTTCATGTTGAATTGTATATGGTCTATGTTAATTATGTTTTATGAATATGTCCTGAAGATGGTCTATTAGACCGAAACGTCCGACGTTGACATTAAACATTAAAACAGCATAATCGCATATTAGGATTTTTGTTTGTTTTTTCAGTATATTTTTCTTCATATATATATATATATATATATATATATATATATATATATATTCTTACATGTTATAAGATCACTACAAAACTACTGCAATTTTGTTTCAACACTGCTGGTGTCCTATCAAGTGATGATGTTGAATGGAAAATAAACGATTTTATGAGTTCAAAAGCCAACCAAACCCCCCTCAGTAGGGGAAGCATTACGTAACCTATGATGACCAATCAGCATACAAGTATATGGTAATTAAAATAACATAACATAATCTTTGATGTGGCACAAGGCCGAAACTAGAGGGGCACCCCGTGAAAATCGAACTCATTACCTAGTCGTAATTGTTCTAGCGAGACCAGCTTGCTAACCATTACACCACTTCGAGGTGCCTTAAACATAATCTGGTATAAGTACAATCTTTTAGTGCATTAATGTTAAGATAAGATTACATTAGAAATCAAAATCACAACCAAATTTCAGTTAACAATTGAATTTAAAATTTAAAATGGTAAAATTAACTTCATTTTTTTTTAAGCGTTTCACCCCAAGCAAGGCGGAGAGCCACTAGGACGCAAGGGGTTACAGAAGATTTGGAGCAAGATCAGATAGGAGTGATAGAGGAAAGGATGAGGAGAAGGATAGTGGATAGATCAAGGCAACTGGTGTTGTAGAGTGGTTTCACAGTGGAGGCTTGTATTTGTACTAAGTCGGTCCTAAAATAGGTTTGACGTACAAAACGTTAGGAACTTGATATAATAGGTATAACGCAGAGTAATCTCGTTGTGGTCACTGATACTTTAATATCCGACTAACGGTCGTCCGGCATCGACTGACTGACCAACTCACTCAGCGACTCAGCAACTGCCAGTACTCCTACTTATTATAGGTGGGAGAGTCTATTAACGATAGAATAGGTGTGTTCTACCATAACAACTGGAGATGTCGATTGACATTACATTTGAATAGTTGGAGATTACAGCTCTCAGGGAAACTGGAATAGGGAAGGGAGTTCCACAGGCGAGAGGTGCGAGACATGAAGCTATTGGAGTAGAAGAGACGGCTACATTTAGTAGTTTCGACAGTGAAAGGATGAGAGCGGGATGCCAGCCTCGTAGGGCGCTTGAACTCATGAAATCTGGGAACCAGCGAATGCAACTCCTCGTAGCAATTGCCATGAAAGTATTTGTGAAACAGACAGAGAGAGGCGACGGCGCGTCTGTGAGCGTCAAGTTTAATATTATTTTAAGATTATTCAGAAATTAAACTAGGAAAAAAGATATTTTATTGTTGTTTGCAAAGTGTTAATTTATCAGTGAAGTTAGACGCTGATAAAAAAAAGTATCTCGAGATATATATATATGTTTTGTGTGTTTGTTTGTGTGTATGTGTGTGTGTGTGTGTGTGTGGCGCCCGTGTTCATCCAATTTTCCAAACGCATGCATCTAGTCCAGCTTTTTTTACCTTTGTGTAACTTTTGAAATAGTTTTCATATCTCATTGAATACCTGCATAACAGAAACTCTTATATATTATCTTACTTATTATAAAACGCAGATTGTGTGTGTGTGTGTGTGTCTGTACGTTTATCTATTGGATCGAATTTCCTACATTTTTCAACCGATTTCAACAAAACTTCACAGGACTACGTAAAATTACCTTGCGGTGGTTCTAACAGCGCCCAAAATTGGAAATGGCACAAAATCAATTTCAAAACACGATTAAGAGGCATTAATGAAAGGGGGACAATCATATCGAGTTATACTTATTAATATCGAGTTATACTTATTATAAAACCCAGGTTGTGTGTGTGTGTGTGTGTGTGTGTGTGTGTGTGTGTGTGTGTGTGTGTGTGTGTGTGTTCGTTTATATATTGGATCGGATTTCCTACATTTTTTAACCGATTTCAACAAAACTTCACTTTTTTCTTTTTGGCAGGTAGCGTTTCTTATTGTCTTGCACACTTCTTTCTTTATTTTTACATTCAGCATTCTTTAAAAATTCCATTTACAAGACAATTGTTTATAATAAAATTCTATTCAATCGGTAGACTCATAACGATTGAAAACAATGTTTTTGTTTGAGTTTGGGTTTGACCAATTCGTAAAAAAAAAAAAAAATAAAACTAATTAAGACATGCGTGCCCGTCAACATTAAACAATAATCTTTGTCAATTTTATTTTTCAGTCTTTATGATCGTTGATACTTGATCTATCTCTTACTGTTACATCCCCGGGCAATGCCGGGCTCTCCTGCTAGTCATCTACTATTATTAATATTTATCTCTTTTATATTTTTATCGTAGTTCACATAGTAAACATAATATTTAGACCCCATACATATGTCCTGTACTCGAGTGAGTCACTCAACGAGATACGAATCCAACACGTCCATGTCCTGTCCACTAACCATGTTGACATCTCTAAATACGTTCCCTATGAGTATTATAATTCTGGATAATATAAGAGGTCGAAGACTTTATTGTAATAACAAAGGATTTTACAACAATATGCCGTACGTGTGTAGTAAAATGGCGGATGTAAAATTAAAGAGAAATGGCTAAAAAAGGCATTAGCCTATGTATCTCTGTTTTTTGGGGAACCCCTAGCGACTTCTTGCGGAATCCTAGAGTTCTGGGAAACATCGTTTGAGAAACACTGCTCTATGGTAATATGAAAAAAACATTCTGGTTGCAGTGCCTGGTTGCAACTCCACAGATAGATAGATAGATAGATAGATAGATAGATAGATAGATAGATAGATAGACTGAGATAAATAAAAAATAACCAACAAACTAATATGGATAATGAACAGATTGAGATAGATAATGAACTAGTTGAAATAGATAGATAGAATCAGAATATATATATATATATATATATATATATATATATATATATATGTGTGTGTGTGTGTGTGTGTGTGTGTATGTGTGTCTTTGTGTATGTGTGTGCGCGTGTATGTGTGTATACATGACATTCATCCTGTACTCGAGTGCGTCACTCAATGATACACAAATCCGCCGTCTACAAATCCTGTCCACCAATCCGTGAAGGCGGTTTCAAACTGACGCCATGTTGACATCACTAAATACATTCCCTATGATTATTATAATTTTAAAAAAGATAAAAGGTTGAAGCCTTTATTATAATAACAAAGGATTTTCCAACAATATACCGTACGTGTACAGCAAAATGACGGATGTAAAATTAAACAGAAATTACTCAAAAATGCATTAGCCTATTTATCACTGTTTCTTACGGAACCTCTAGCGACCTCTTGTGGGACGCTGGGGTTCGGGGAACACCAGCTGAGAAACAATGGTCTAGGTAGTCAAAATTTGACTAAATATACAACTTTTTAGGAGGAGCTAGCAGTTACGCATATATTTTATGTCATGCCTGTCCTTTCCGGGACGTAGACGATCATGGCTTTTCAATGAGATCTCTGAACGGCCATGAAAGAAAACTTAACAAAATCAATTGTAAACACCAGTTGGTATGAATCCCTGATTAATTATGATCATTATTTTAAAACCTTGTTAATCGTTATTTACATTATTCGAACTATTGTCCTCATCTTTATTGTCATATTCACGACGTTTCGACTGTTGAATGCTCCGGCCTCCTTCACGTGAGGTGAGTTGGAATTTCAAACCGATCCCTTTATTTAGTCTAGTTCCACGTGCCATGCCTTTTTTTTTTTGGATATTTTAGTTTCGGTTAATTCCCATTAGTAGCTCAGTTCTCCAAATTTTTGATCCCTCTACCGTGGCCAGGTATCGAACTCAGAACTCTTTGGGTCGATTCACTTTTTGCATCATTCAACCAACGCTTTTATTCATTGGGACATGTGCTCAAACGTCGTGAATAGGGCAGTAAAGATGAGGACAGCAGTCCGAACAATGTAAATAATGTAAATGATTAAAATATCTCATCTCAGAAATATAGACAGAACTTAGTAATACCTTTTCTTTGGAGGTATATATATACATATATACATCTACATATTCGCTTGAAGATGAAACAGCACTAATGCATTTAATTTAATTATATTATTAAATTTTAAGTTTTTAGCTTCGGTTTTTGAAACATGGTAATTCCTGCGTAGCGAAGAATTCATATTTTAAATCAGCTAATTTATATATTTTTTTTTCGTTTCATTTCGTTGTTGGAAGTGCTATCTGATGATCCGGCGTCCTTTTAAAAGGACTCTGGTGAAATAAATTATTATAATGGTACCTTAAAGTGGTCTGTTTTTCTTTTAAATATTAGCTCTGGTTTTACATTGAACTCTCAGGATTTCATCCACCTTGGGATTACCCATACGGATTACCAAGTTCTTCATAACTTATATATATATATATATATATATATATATATATATATATATACTTACTTTTATAATGCTAATCAACTTAGTGTTAGCTGAAATTTTCTTGCTCTTTTCAATCATATGCGTACATTTTCTCGTTTTTATGGTTCATGTTATTTGTTATAGAAAAATACATAAAAATATCTTTGTGCTAACATTTGTTCCTGAAAGTCTTGAATTCACTTTCTCTGATGGTTCCCAAATTGAACCTCGTCTTATCACAAAACCTGTAGACACAGAATTTTGATAGGACTCAGTTCTGGCGATCAAGAATGCCAATCTACACGCCGGCCATTTTGAAATTCTGATTTAGCTAAGTAGTCGACGTTTGCAATAACAGCACAAACTGGAACATCGACTTGCATAAATACGGCTTTTCGTTTGAATGCAAGTGGCTTCTTCTTGAGCTGTTTCTGCAGATTCGCTTTTAAGAGGTCGATAAAAGGAGGAGGAAGAAGAAGAAGAAGAAGAAGAAGAAGAAGAAGACAGAGAAATGGAGAACAAGGATAAATAAAGGAAGAAGGAGGAGAAAAGAAGACGAAATAAAAGGAGGTGGAAGAAAAAGTAGATAGAAAAAAAAGAGGAAGAAAAGAGAAAAGAAGAGGGAGGGGGAAAAGAAAGAACATGAAGAATAGGTACAAGGAAAAGAGAACGAAAGAAAAAAAAGAGAGGAAGTGGAAAAGGAGAAGAAAAAAGGAAAAGAGGGGGGAGGGAAGGAGAAAAGAAGCCGAAGAATGGTGGAGAAAAGGAGAAGTAAATAAGAAGATTAGGAATAGAGAAAAGGAGAAGAGAAAGAAAGAAAAAAAAGAAGAAAAGGAAGGAAAGAGGAAAAGGAAAAAAAGGAGGAAGAATTGAAGAGAGAATAAAAATGAAGCAGATAGGAAAAGAAAGGGTGGATTCAGGGAGATGAAGATGAAAGAATAAAGTGGGGGGGAGTAAAAGAGAAGGAAGAAGGAAAGATAGATAATAAGACAGCAAACAGGAAAGAGACGGTTAGAAAGAGATTAAGAGCCGGAAGGAGATTGAAAAGAAAAGGATAAAGGAAAAAATGGGGGAAGAGGGAAAAGAGGAGGACGAAGAAAAAGAAAAGGAGAGGGAAAGATGGATAATAAGAAGGAAAACAGGAAAGATTAAGAATCGGAAGAAGGCAGAAAGAATGAAGGAAAAAGTAAGGGAAGAAGGAAAATAAGAGAAGGGAAAAATGGAGGAAGAAGAAAAAGAGAAGGAGAGATGAATACCAAGAAGGAAAAAAAAGGAAAGAGACGGCTAGAAGAAGATGAGGAACAGGAAGAAGAAAATAAAAAGATGAAGGAAAAACGTAAGAGAAGAGGGAAAATAAGAGAAGAAAAAGAGGAAGAAAAAAAAAAAAAAAAGGAAAGATGGGTAATAAGAAGAAAAAAGAAAACAGACGGTTAAAAGTTGATTAAGAATCGGAAGAAGATTGAAAATAAAAGGATTAAGGAAAAAGTAGGGATAGAAAGAAAATAAGAGAAGAAAAAATGGAGGAAGAAGACAAAGAGAAGGAGAGATGAATACCAAGAAGGAAAAAAAAAGGAAAGAGACGGCTAGAAGAAGATGAGGAATAGGAAGAAGAAGAAAATAAAAAGATGAAAGAAAAACTGGGAGAAGAGGGAAAATAAGAGAAGAAAAGAGGAGGATAAAAAAAAGAGAAAGAAGAAGGAAAGAGGAGGAAGAAAAGCAGTAGAATAGAAATAAGGGAAAAAAAAAGAAGATAATAAAAAAAAAACAGGCAAGAAGCAAAACCTGGTAATAAAATGAATAAAAACTAACGGAAAAAGGAAGAAATGCGAGAAGAACTTAAACATAAAGAAGGGGAGAAAAAAAATGAAAAAAAAAAAAAAAGAAATTTAAAAAAAAAAATAACCAAGATAAAAAAAAAAACAAACAAAAAAAAACAAGAAAAAGAAACGAATACTTTGAACGGGTGAAATAACGGAAACACAAAAGCAGACACGACTCTTCACTGTCGAATAGAATATGCCATCAGGATTTATTTGTTCCACTTTGGAATTGTGGGAGAAAGCCAAGAATTGACGAAGAAGGTCGGCATTTTTTTTTCTTTTCGAGGCCACTCAATGGGGGTAAAAAGCGAGAGAAGAAAGATGTTCAGTGCCCTACATAGACGCCGACAAATGTTTCCCAGGGAACGTTGTAAGGGTTTCTTAACGTATATTGCTCTTCTCTCTCTTTATGCAATCTTGTTTATTCTCACTGATTTTCTCGACCAACATGTGTCCAGCCGCCATTTATTTACGGATATGTCTGCGGCGTTGAAAAGACAACGCAGACTTCCCACTAGTTGCTTTCTTCATCTACTTACCAATATATCTATATTTATCTACAATTAATTATATAGTAAGTACCTGCAAATATTTTCTAAAAAAAAAAGGAGCATACCATAATGAAAAAAAAAGGACCCAAACTTGATAAAAACAAAGTGTTATCGTCAAAATGTTTATGTTATTAGTAAAAGAAGAGACCAAAGTATTTTCTGGTTATTTTATTAAATTTTTTAATCCTTTCGCGCAAGTTCGAAATTTTGGATAAAAATTCTTGTTTTTTTTTTTTTTTTTGCGTTAGCGGGTGGGCCAAAGATTATTATATGGATTTCTAGTGTTTTTAGTCGTTAAAAATATTGCCGGATTTTAATTAAATTTTCAGAGCTTATTCACAAATGAATTAAATTATTTTAAAAAGATCTTGCTCTCTCTCTCTCTCTCTCTCTCTCTCTCTATATATATATATATATATATATATGTGTGTGTGTGTGTTTAGGCAGCAATCCTTTCATGTACATTTCATTGAATACGACAGACAAGGTGCTTTTATTTAGTTTTTTATACATTTTCTCATGCGATCTAATAATTTTTTTCTTTTCGGATGATAAATTATATAAAAACAGGTCCGGATGTTCTTTTTATCCGAGCGCTTTCGGCTATATTTTAGCCATTTTCAAGGATTAAATATTTTAACTGTTAATTAAGAAATAGTTTGTTGCATGTATGTTTTATAAAATGTTTTCATTTTTCAAAACACGGTCAAGATATTATGTCCATGTTCAAAGTTAATATTATTAAGTGTTGTTTTTTTTTATTAATAAGGCTTCCATTATTTTTAGCCTTTTTTTACATGTAGAAGATGCTATGATATTAGTGTTGTCAACAAGTATGTTACGAATAGTGCCCAGTAGGTCTCCATGAATATTTAAATGAGATCTAATTGAGCTATTGTCAGAAAGTTGTAGAGTGAGAATTCGTGTCAAACATGTTGTAGTGTGGCCTATATAATTATTTACGAATTTTGATTGATCAGGAATACAATTCCTTTATGGGCATTTAAATTCGTAAGTAATATTTTCCCTATTTAATTTTGTTCTAGGAGGCGAATTATTATTTTTAACTGTAATGTTACAGGTTTTAAATTTTTTGTAATAAATAATCAAATTTTTTTTGCTATTGTCAACTGGTGTTATGCAGACTCTTCACTTATATATATATATATGTGTGTGTGTGTGATCTCCAATTACTTAATTTTATAAAATTTCGAGAAATTAAAATTTTAGCCTCTTCATATTTATATTAGTTAAAAGCAAAACTCCTTGGAGAATTTAAATCATCAATTTGTTTTTTCAAACAAAAACACCATTTAGCGAAAATTTGCTTCGAATCGTAAAATAAAAAATGCAATAAAACTATGATATTATTTAGAAAAGATATTAATTACTTTTATAAAAAAGATATATTAAGGACACTATTGTCTTAAGAAAAATTAAATTAGTTTTTGAAATGCAACAAAGTATTTTGATTATAGGAAATATTAAATTTAATCAACTAGCTGGAAATTAAAACTAAAATAAAACCTTCAAGAAAGATGTTTCACTTAAAAAAATAATTCTAAACTTTAGGTATCGGTTTTTTTAGCAAAACATATAAAGTTAAATATATTTGCAGATGTATCTACCTATAACTGCATATATATATATATATATATATTGCACGTTTATCGTAATTTAAATAACTGATCCAAGTGCGACTTTTGGATAATAAGTGCGACATTACTGTAATTATTGAACAATATAGTTCATGCCACTTTGACAGAAAATTTACCAGTAAAAAATTCGTTCATCACCATATTTGTATATGAACGCACAACTTTTAAAAATTTAAAATCAAACTCAGCGTTGCTACTGCGCGCTCCAAAAACAATAACTCATTTCCAATAGCATTTTCGGATACAACAATACATATATTTTCGTTGTCCTCTTATTACTAAGAAAAAACAAGAACAACATCTATTCTATACCTGAAGATGTCTGTAGGAACAGACGAAAGCTTGTAGTAAAAATAAGAACTAATACGGCAGAAATTTATAGAAACAAGGATCATTTCATTCATAACGGATTTGGAGGTTTTTGTATATTATTTGAATTGTTTGCGACGATGGATTTCTCGCCAATTAAATCATTAACCTTTGCATTTGTTTTTGTGTGAATAATTCATGAATATATATATATAATATATATATATATATATATATATATATATATATATATATGCCAATAACTATATTTACCTTTTTTAATTTATTGCTTAAAAATTATTTCAAATGGATACACATATTTGAGTAGATGCTCTGTTTTTATTTATTCAGTAAACAATATATTGAATTATTTCTCCTTACCCATCTGAATATACGAGAAATGTTATTCACCTCTCCTTAGATCTGACGTGACTTGACCTATCGGTCACGAAGGACCTAATGACCAACCAAAACACAAATAGTGCTTTTTGAAAACAGACTATTCCCAATTCTCGATATATACATCTATGTTCCGTTTCGTACCCTAACGTAAACAAACGTAATTTTTTTAGGAATGGTTTTTCATTTATCAATCCGGCATATTTTAATGTATTGCTTAAACGTCATTTTTAATAGATACCCATGTTTGAGTAGCTCAGGCGATCATGTATCTTTCGATACATCACTGACGAGGTAGATCTTTTCCTGCAGTAGGTTGCCATTTCTTTCTGCGGTAGGCCAGGTGGAATCCACCCGGTCTGTTCTGCTATTTACCCATAGCTGAGGGGAGAAGAAAAGGATTCATACATTTCCGAAGTGAATGTAATGAATCTGATCGGAATTCGAACTCGGCTCTCCGATTCCAAAACCCGAGCCGCTATCCAAGGGTACTAGAACGTAAGTGAATGTAATGGATTTGAACGGAATTCGAACTCGGCTCTCCGATTCCAAAACCCGAGCCGCTATCCAAGGGTACAAGCACGTAAATGAATGTAATGGATTTGAACGGAATTCGAACCCGGCTCTCCGATTTCAAAACCCGAGCCGCTATCCAAGGGTACAAGCACGTAAATGAATGTAATGGATTTGAACGGAATTCGAACCCGGCTCTCCGATTTCAAAACCCGAGCCGCTATCCAAGGGTACTAGCACGGAAGTGAATGTAATGGATTTGAACGGAATTCGAACCCGGCTCTCCGATTTCAAAACCCGAGCCGCTATCCAAGGGTACTAGCACGTAAATGAATGTAATGGATTTGAACGGAATTCGAACTCGGCTCTCCGATTCCAAAACCCGAGCCGCTAT